CAGTTTGTCGTAAAACTGTTGAAATATAAGACTATGAAAAATACGTAACTAGAAAGACTACAAATCCCAGAGTCGCGTAAGTGATGTCACAATTGTTTACCTCCACCATTCAGATACCTAAGATCAGCGCAATATAGATATAATCTATCTATATGGCGCTGGCTAAGATAAGATAACTTTAACAAGATGCCTGTGTGCTTAGTACCAGGTTGTTATTATACCAGCAATGGGTCTTGCTCGTTCTTTTGCTTCCCGTCTGATGAAACGACCAGGAGTGGCTTGATCAAGTTAGCTACCTAGCTAGTAGCTAGCACGTTAGTTAGCATTACAGCCTTGTCATTTTTATTAGCCTTAACATGAAGTAACATTAAGTAACCCAACATGTTAAACAGTAAGAGTAGTAGTCATATTTCGTGAACCCTTTGAATAGTACTGTCACCGGTGTGATCATTCTATAATACACCATTTAATTCCGGGGGAGAAATGCTAACGCTAACGTTAGCATCGGCGATCTTTTCTACTTCATGCTATCTGCACAAATGGTTGACATTAAACATTAAAACGACCAGGCAGTTCAGAGAGAATCAAAGGAAGGCAGGCAGGCAGCTTTGCATGACATTCTTCAGGACGTGTTTCATTGTGGTGATCAGTGGCGACTGGTCATTAGGGGCAGGTGGGGCACAGCCCCACCTAGTGTCAGCAGAAAGTATTACAAATAATGATTACAAAAATGCAAAAAAAAAAAAAAAAAAATATATAAAATATATTTTAAGATCATGTTTAATCATCTGATTCGTCTGTACATTGCTGTTTTAGTCTGTGTTCTTCTAATTAGTGTCTACAGTCACAGTGTGTGCCTATTGAGCTGTTTAGAGCCATGTGGGACAAAACCTGATTATGCCCCTTCCTCTCGCTGTGAAGTGAACGTTGACTGTAAAAACTTCACTGCGCATGCTCAGAGTATTTTGTAATGAAATGTGTGTGGCAAAAAAATAATGACCAGAGGGGCACGGAGCTACCATCCCCACTATACGTCGTCTCAAATCATTCAGAGCTGATTGGCTGTAAGTACGTGTGCCGCGAAAAGTGTGCTGTGTGAAGAGGAGACGAGAGAGCTGCAGTGACGCGTCCTAAAACCAGGAAGTAAGCTGCGCATGGCTTCCCTCGACAAAAAAGCAATGAGATTTCTCCAGAGGATTTTAGAAAATAGCTCGAAATAAGATCTGTGGGAAACGTACCTGTTAGATAAATGCACGTTTTGATTAGCCGGATAACATCCACATGTCTACCCTACTTATATAATTTTTTTATCATAAATCTATGGATTAGATTTATGATAGACTTTTGAAACTACAAGAAGATAAGGAGGACTTTTACAAAAAAGTAATAGAAATGTTTGTCCAGAAGGATAGGCAAATGGACTTCATCTTCAAGTCAAGGTAAGACCGCAATTTTATTGAAAATGGGATCTTACTAAGAGAGAACAATTCAATATTTAAATGATAAAATTACATTTTTTGGGTATCCTTTTGTTGAACTGTCTGTTTAAAATTAATCGAAGCATCAGACAAAAAAAGCTTTTGAAAATAATATTATATTTTGGTTTAGGTCAAAATATAATATTTGTAAACCTGAAGAGTCAGTGCCAGTGCCTCACCAGCCATGAACCTCACTGCACGTCACTGCAGAAGCTTATATATAGACATCTAAGTTTTTTGTGCCCCACCACTTTTGTACATATAAAAACGCCACTGGTGGTGATAGTCAATCGTTTGTTGACAAGACAGTAGTGACGGCCATCTTGGTGACGTGTGTGGTTGACCAGAGATGTAGTTCATTTAGCGTTTCACACAAACAAATGTGTTACTTCACAGTTTTACGACACATTTTTTTTTTTTTGACTTGCAAAATTATCTTTTAAATTGACAAACATCATATGTGTAATTCGTGGCACAATTCAAACGGGATCGAAAGATAATCTTTCTCTCTCCATTGACTTCAATGCATAACTTTTCCGAAATAAGGTCCCATGGGGCTCAACCGGAAGGGGAGGGACTTCGCCACTCTATTACGGCTTCCACAGATGACATTTTTTTATGGATGTTTTGTCAAAGCACTTAAGATATTCATTGCTATCGGGATGTTAAGAGCATTCCATGGAATATAACAAAAAGTGTATCTCGAGCCGGTTTCTCAAACTTACCTACCCCACCTTTAATACTATTATTATTATATTTTATAATAAGTGAAACAGTTAAAACCTCAATAAAGCTCATGAAATAATTGCATTGTCCTAGTTATTGCCAATGTCTGTATTATATTCTTTAGCAGTATTATGGTGTCGAGCAGATTCAAAATGTTTAGTTTTGCACATTTCACCCTTTTGTTTTTTAATTGTAGTGACTATATTAATCACCCTTCATTTTTAGTATGTCTAAAAAGTCCCTCTTACAAGTAGGACAATGTCAGTATCTACAACAATGCAACACTGTAAGAGTAACCATTTTCCTCAAAAAACCTACAGTAGCATGTCACACACATCATTTCTTCCATCCCTGTACCTTGCTGGCTGACAGTATCTGAAACAGGGCCAGGTTGTGTCCGGTGCTCAGCCTCTCGTTGAACTTGTTCACGGCGCTGCTGACGGCTCTGTCCACAGACGGGTCGTCACAGAAGATCAGAACGCCAGGCTGCACCTCCAATGCCTCCGGTGAAAAGAAAAAAATATAATCAGATCTTTACTTTTTCTAGTAAAATCCTGATGTTTCTGACAAGCAGGTGAGGACTTGCATTTTCTCCTCCTTCATTAGTGAAATATAATGTTCTTTATTCCACAACATTTATCTGACAGTTACCAGTTACTTTACAGATAACATTTTAAATACTAAACAAGTTCACTATATGAACAATTTGACTTTGCTCACTAGGTCATAATGCAAGAAAGTTGTAGTTGTAGCTACAGTAGGGTTTCTGATTTCTTTCTGCTTACCTGGCCATAGACTGAGCTGTGGAGGCACAGCAGGCCGAGCACACAAAGCCCCGCTCCGCTCCTCATCGTCTGATCCTGATGGATGTTTCTGCTCTGCTTCACAGGAAATAACAGTAAATATAACAACAGATAGTGAACACATCAATCCACAGTTTACCAATGTAATGAAAGTGTATTTCATGTCGAAATGACCTTCTAACCCTGGCAGCGTGAGTCGCAAATGTCTTATTTCTGGCTGAATCAGAAACAATTTTAAGCTTTCAAAATGATTTAATGCAAATATTTAATATAGCATTACTTACAGAATATGAAGGTGAATGCCTGCTGTCGATGTCGCTGTGCTTGAAGAGATAAATGAATGAGTGAAGTTCTCCTGAAACTGTGGGTGGGAATCCTGGGAAAAATGATGACACACTGATAGACACATACACAGGGGACAGGAGGGCACACACACACACACACACACACACACACACACACACACACACACACACACACACACACACACACACATTGATGCTCAAAACGCTCAGTCGGTAAAAGGAGAGTAAATGTTTGCTCTCTTGTTTGCCCTCCAACTTGTCAAATCAATACGACTGTCAGTATCCAAGAAAGAGTATTTAAAGAGGTAACATCTTCCTTCATTAGTGAATTCAAATGAGCAAACGCTCTCATACCTAAATACACACACACACATTTTAACACACAAAGAAGCATGTATGTTTGAAGATAAACATAACTAACTGTACGTGTTTAGGGGCCATTGTGTGTGTGTGTGTGTGTGTGTGTGTGTGTGTTTGTGTGTGTGTGTGTGTGTTTGTGTGTGCTTGTGTGTGTCTTTGTGTTTGCTTGCTGTGTGCTTTCACTGGTACTTTGTCCCTGTCGACCTTTGGCCTCTACCACTCTGATTCCCTCACTGCTCCTCAGTGAAATGAGGTGAAAGCTGCACAGATGTTACACTCCATACATGACAGTATCATCCAGACATTGTGTTTGCTGTGTCTATGTGCAGCCTCTGTACAGGAATACACCAAGTTCACTGAGTTCACATGCCAACCGATGGGACGCAAACGGAGACCTCCTCAAGAGGTTTCTAAGTTTAGGGCATCGAATGTTATTTACTGCCACTAGGGGTCCCTCAATCAAAACAATGACAAAAGACAGAATTGTATGCCTTTCATAACTTCCAAGGATGACTTAATCACCTGGTATATCAATAAGGTAAAACATAGACAAAGGAAACAAATACGGGAACAAATGAAAACATGGAGCTAAATGCCAAAGGAAACAGAGCCTTGTCTTGGTTAAAATGATGGATTTCTTTGAGAAAATGTGGGATATTGAAGTGCTCTTATTAACAAATGTCTAACATAGGTTATTTAGACATTTTATCGTTACAATTTTACTAAGAGGAGTCACATTTGAATAAAAGGATAAAGGAAAACTTGACATTGACACACTAAATTATTTAGTTATTTTTACTTTACAAAATATTCAAATAAAACAAGTAAAGTTAGTTTAGATTCAATATTTCACTGTAAACCAACAGTATAGCAGCAGCTGTGTAGCTTAACCAAGCCAGTAAGTACTCAAATCTTTTATTGTAGTAAAACAATACCACACTGTAAAAAGACTATGTTACAACTATATTCCTACATTCAAGTATTAGAAACAAAGAAAAAGTTCATAATATAAATAAGTTAAATAAATTAAATTAGATAACACACTTAAATGATATATTAAGATATAACATCAGTCACACATGAAAGGCAGTTTTGTAACTTTAGAAATATAAATATTGTTGTTAATGCTCAAAGTCCCCAACTTCTAAGACACTAACAAAAGCAACATGTTGCCAAGGTGACATATTTAGCACATAAAGTTAGAGCTACATGCTTCTGACTCACAGAGTTTTACCATCATAAAGTTTCCATCCGAGGTGTCAGCTCACCGCCTCCTGTGACTCTGCACTTCCTGTGCACGGCTCATTTGAGTGTCAAGGTGGTCGACAATTTCACATTTACAAGCAAAACCACAACTGAAGCACTCACACGGCTCCCATCACATCACTGCTGCATTATTCTCCTTTCTGTTGTTTTCCGTTAACTATGATGCTAAAGGCTCAAACAGGTGGATGGTGTCTCATAATCCTGGCTATTATTGCAGGTAAGTTTGATTTTCTAATCTCATTACACCCTTATAATGGGCTTCTCCACAGACTGGTCAACTGCTCAACTCAATGCAGTATTTAGGGGAGGCTTCCTCCAGATAACAGAGAGGGCTTTCACATCCATATTGCCCACACAACTAAACTCAAATAAAACTTAAAAAAGGTCATGCAAAGTTAAAAACAATAACCTAAAGGATATTTTATTTTTTTGTGATTTTCTTTTACCTCAAATCCACTTAAGTATAACACATGTTTGAGATTTAGAATCTTGTCAGATTTTATAGATCAATTTGTGGGATTGTCCTCAAAACAAAATTAAACTGTTATTTGAGTGTGAACATGTGATTGAGACATTCTAACTGATATATTTCTTAATTTGAAATACAATGGTCATCTTCATAATGCTGTGTTGCCTTCCCTGTGAAAACCTACTTGTAAATGTGCTTTGTCATAAATGAGGATGTTCTGGTTTCCTCTCTCAAACAGACATCTACATTTAAGTTTCTTTCTTTCTTAATCTGCAGTTAAAAGCATACAGATGGTATGAAAATAAACTGAGATAAAAACATTAAGAACAAGGTTTGCAGCAGCAGCTTTCATGCAATGTGTTATTATGTGTAATTGTTCAATTACTGTAATTATTGCTATAAACCAATGTCAAGACAGCCTCATTCTTACTTCATAACCAAGTCATTTACCAAGTAAAATGTACTTGTTGCAAAGTGGACACGCCTGGCAAAAATGTACTTGTTTTCCTATTCTATTTAGACTTTCTGCAAAAATGTCCAATCCAAGATTCTGTTAGAGCTTTGGCAGGTTAACAAACGTGGACAAATACCCAGCATTCCAGCATGTCCGTGTGCTGGCTGGTTTCTTGGCACATAACTGAATATGTGTCTGCTGTGTGCAATATGCATCAAATAGATAACCAGATGTTGATAGTGACATGTCTCTTCTCCCCCAGGTGTCCAGCTCCAGGAAAATGAGCGCTCTGTCCAGCCTGCATCTGAGCCTCACATCTACAGGCCGGCGCTGCAGCCCACCGAGACCGCCCCTCCAATAGGTACACACAGGGGCGTCGCCTGGACCTGAAAACATTCGGGGCTTAGCCCACAGTGGCGGCGGCACTACAGTGGCATTTTTTACTGCAACACTCCCCACGCGCACACACACAGTACACCCGCGACTGTTACAATGAAGGCTCGATAATCAGCTCACGGCATATAGGCAGGGGTAAAGTGCTATTTATGAGTGGGGGGCTCACCTCCTCAAGGGGGGTCCGGGGGGATGCTCCCCCGGGAAGATTTTTTTTTAAATATTGAAGTTAAATGCATCAATCTGGTGCACTTTGAGAGCAAAATGAAGAGATCTATGGATACCTCTCTCAACACCCATATGAAACAGAACTGTAAACAGATGTACTTTTTCTTTATGGATATTTTACTAATCACTCCCCTTTTAAACTCTATTCTTGTTTTACTGCCATATAGTATTTCATAACTGTTTTTTCTTTATTCTCTTTTTTTTAATAACTATAATGATCATATGAAGGTGTGCCGCGGAAATAATCTTTTGAATAATTTGTGACCAAACCGTTTGAGACCCACTGAGATAACTTAGACTAAAGTTAACTATCTAAACAGAGAGTCCTTTAGCTAGTCTCTCAGTCTGAGAGGAGAGGACTCTCCTCCAGCTTGTTGTGGAACAAACAGCTCCTTATGTCCGTTAGTGCAGCTAGCTAACCAGATGCTAACAACACGGTCCATGCGGTCCCTCCCTCCCTCTCTCTCTCTCTATCACACTAAATGCGCTATTGCCACACACACACACACAGAGCCGAGCTTGAATGACACAAGCACACGTTTATTTCCATGCAACTCTCTGATTGGTCTGGTGTCATGCCTCTGTTGCATTCACTGAACACGGGAAATTACAGTGCTGCCGTCCTCTCTTGTGTCATGATGAGGTCGTAAAGCACGGTTAATGTATTATATTATTGAGGGAGAATTGTCCGGGGCTACAGAAAAAACATTCGGGGCTAAAGCCCCGGATGCCCAGGCCAGGCGACGCCACTGGGTACACACCAATCCCTTTGAGATAAAACATAAATTATTTGCACCACAGCAAATGTACCTACATTTAAATGTAGACCTAATTGGGTTTAAAGTTGAAAGGGAAAGTAAAACAAATAATTCAGGTCAAAACATTGGGGGCTCTTTTGTACGGAGCCAGAAGTTATTAATAAAATGAAAACAGATTGTCTCTAATTCAAGTTAAATGACCTTTGGCTGTCTGTGTTAATGTATATTTCTGTGTGTTTGTGCACAGAGACCTACAAGCTTGACAAATCCTGCATAAAAGCCACCATGGGAGTACAGTACATTGTCATTGAAAAAAAGGTTAGTGTGTGTTTGTGTTTGGGTGTATGCGTGCGTGTGTGTTTTCCTCAGTGTATTTTTGTCCTTTTTTTTGTATTTCAGCACATTTCGCACAGCGTGCATGTTCATTTCTGCATGTCTTCGTGAAGTGTTTGTTTCACTGTACAAACAAAAGAAAACTAAAATGTCCGTAACAATCTATTTAAAAACAAATAACAAGACGTGTGTGCTCTGGTGGAGGTGATACATTATAATTTAAAACTAAACTAAACTCTTTTTTGCTCGAGTACTTGTCTGGTGACTGATAGGAGACAATGAAATCTGACACTGTCTAAGTAATATTTCTCTCCTGTGTGCATTCAGAAGGCTTGGTATTACAACCTGGAGCCCTCCAGGGTCAGGATGGGGGGGTCCTGTGGTGAAGAAGCTGCTGTCCTCTCTCTCACACTGCCTGACAATGCTGCCAGTCTGCAGCTCACCTTCAGAAAGGTACACCAAATGTCATACATCCCACTTTCCTTCAAAGTGTGCATTTTCTTCCACTGTCCGGAGATATGCAGGCAATGGTGGAATGTAAATTGACTATACTTAAACTCAAGTACTATACACATTTGAGGTAATTGTAATTGAGTGTTGATTTTATGCAACTTGTACTTCTAGACCACTACATCTCAGAGGCAAAACTTGTATTTCTTACTCCATTATATCTATTATGAGCACTTAAGTTTAGTTTAGTCAATTTTTCATACCATCATGTCAATTTTAATGCCTTAGAAAACACCTCATAAATGCAGTGATTATGGAACTATTAGCAATAGTAAAATGAGGAAGACAAAACTTTGTTACGTGTTATGTGTATCTTCAAATTCAGAAAATATAGTTTCTGCATCCAAACTCTGTCATAGAAAAGATTAATAGAATCATTGACGCTTCCAGCTTCACAGAACATCCAAAACATTCACATCAACAGATAAAGTAATGTTCATTAGAAAAATTGTTTTCAGAATTCATGCATTACTGGATCAGCTTCAATCTCTTTTGTTTTTGTCTCCAGAAAGGGAATATTTTCTACGTCTCCAATCTAACCGCTCATGTGTCTCCTCTGCCTGTCTGCCAAGGATGTTCCAGTAAGACCAGATCAAGAGATAAAAAGAGAGATGACATTTAGCTGGTATTTCTGATTCTGAACCTGCCCACACAGAGAACATAACCATCCCTGTCTAACACCCTTTCCTCACAGATAAGACTTACTCAGGTGTGTTGACGAATGACAAGCTGTTTGCAGCGGCTGATGGACAGAGCTTCAAGTGCAAATCTGAGAATCTGCTTCAGACGTCTCCGGAGCTGAGGATCCGGCTGGTTCCTCTGCAGATACAGGCCTTCACTCTGCTCAAAGGACACTACGGAAAAGGTGAATGGGTTGATCATTAGGTACAAGGGAAAATATCCTTTATATAAAAAAGTATCTGGTTTCATACTGCGCTGGTAGATATAGAACTATAACAACATTTAGTCCTAAAACCGTAATTAATATCATAGTGAAAAGACAATTACAAACTCACATTGTTGAATAAAAGTAAATACACGCTTGACTACCCCATATGGTATTGTCTGCTTCCTCTCTTGTGTTCAAACTAATTTGAAGACACATGGACAGATAAATGAGCATGAGCACCAATTTTTTTCAAAAAGGCCCAAGGATTTAAAAATCTAATTGGGCTTATTTCTGTTGTACAGTATCACATTATGTTCATGCTTTGAAAGCACTTCAGTTTTCCCTCATTCTGTGATTAATCTCAATCTAGCATAACAGCTGGGAGTTTTTCCAGATACAGATGTGATCTATAATGTGAGCTTTGAGCATTCGATTTTTGAGAATCACACACAATGATAATTGGTCCCATTGGACTGTGTTAACAGTAAATATCCTGAAACTAAAGCAGGTTTATTGCTGCTGTGTTATTGATCTAATCATTATGGAAAACAATGTTCGTGTTATAAATGTGAATCTCTGCACTGCAGCTTTAGATCTAAGGGATTGATGTGTATGTGATATCTGCAAGTCATTCATCAGATCAGATTATATATGGCTAAATGAAGGTACTGATTTGTTTTTTCATTTTGCTCTCCATGTTGTTTCAGAGGTGGAGTGTTGGGCTGACTTTACCCAGCGAGTTATCCCCATCATCCTCGGGGCCACAGTGGTGGGTCTTTTTCTCATCGCCGTGACGACCTCCCTGTTCATCAAAGACCGCCACAGAGAAGGATATGACAGGCTCTGAACTTCTGACAACTGGATGGAGATTACCTTAATCTACAATATTATTTCATCATACACTGTCACAAAAAGTTCTCAAATTAGCTCTCCATAAAGGAGAGGTGTCATGCTTTTCCGGTTATTACCCGTCCCCTTGTGTGTTATGAAGGTTTTTATGCATGTAAACGGTGTGCAGAGTCAAAACCCTCAAAGTACACCCTGTAGCGAGTAAAACTCTAACACAGAAAATACCTCCCCAAAACGCCTCGTTGGAGATACGTCACTGCCCATTTGAGTCTTCCATTTCGTTCCGGGTACGGCATGATGTCAAGCGGTACCCGGAACGAAATGGACCAATCCTGAAGAGCCGTTACGTTACGTCCGCGGAGCCGTTACGTTAAGCCCCCGCTGATTGGTCCAAATTGACCGATCCACGGACTTCCTCACACACACATCTGTGTGCAGGGAGCAGGCAGCTCAGTTGATTTCTCCTCCCTGGCTGCAGGCTGATAACAGACAGTTGGGATCGTGGCAAAATTCTCTCTGCAGACCCATTCTCACAGCGTTTATCAACCTTTTTCTTACTCAATATCAAGCCACACTTATTGTTTTTACTTCGGATGTGAGTTTGTGTGTGCTCAGGATGAGTTTGGCTGTGTTTCGCTATGTATCCTAAACAAGGAAACAGCACCTCCACGGAGCTCAGCGCGATTCACAACGTCCCGACCAATCAGAGCACACTGTGCTCACAGGGAGGGTGGGGGCTGGAGCTTTTGGAGCTACAACGAGCCGTTAAAGGCAGATAGTGAAACTCAGTGAATACACGTAGTTTACAGAGATGCTGTATGAGAAACCAATGTGAGTTTGGAAAAATGCACAGTATAAATCTATTCTAGTACACCTCAACAATGGAATTATGATCAGTGGAAATGGCCATGACACCTCTCCTTTAAAGCAGAACGGTCTAATGCCTATACATCTTGACAATGTTGTTAAATTTATTTCTTTGACTATTATTTAATTATTTTTTCCAATTATAATTTGTAATCATCACAATTGGGTTTAACATTTATTTTCCTTTTTATTCTGTATTTAATGATAACTTTTGTTCACAGCTGTGTGTTGTAATATTCATATGTGTGGCATATTCCAGAGTTAATTGATAAAAGGGATGAGCCCTTATTGACACAAGCTTGTTAATGATTAAGTAAATAATCATAACAACGCTTGCTAACCTACATGTCAGAGATACTAGAAAATGAACATCGCATTTTTTTGTTGTTGCTTTAATTGGTAATAATGTATTTTGAATAAACAAATATTTCGTTTTTACAGCAATTGAAATACTGTACATAACTGCATAATATTGTAGTGTTACCAGAATACTTGTTAAAATTAGAACCTTTCATCTATTTTCCTTTGATTTACAAGGAATACATGTTTTTATAAATAAAATATGTTTTAAATGTATAATAAGTGGGATTCTCTCTACCTGTGTGACAGAGAAACGCTGCCCTCTGCTGGCGCTGTGTGCTCCCTGCAGCGTCCTCCCCACCTCCATATCCCTCTTTCTCATTGGCTCCGCGTCACTACGAGTCCTTTAAAAGGTCAAAAATAATAGTACAGATTTTTAGACGTGTATTGCTGTTTTTACAAGTGCCAGTGTAACATTTAAAAGGTCGGAATATTATTCATGGTTCGGTTGAGTAGTTTGCTTCTTTGAAATCATAACCAAACTGTGTATGAACTGTTTAATATAATAACACTTCGCCTTTTCCTCCTCAGCTGGTCATTTAGTGAGTTAGCTAGCAGCTATCACCTCAGCAGCTGGTAGCTATGGCTGCAGTTATTCTGAGTTTCCCAACTCTGCAGGGTCTGAGGATATTCACACAGTGAGTATATTTAAGCAATTCAGTCAGTTGTGATTTTGCGTAAAGCAGTCTGCTCTTCTTAAGTAGTGTTACACAAACCAGAATCTTTTTGACCTTTTTTTAGCTTTCAAGTTTGCAATGCTATTCCACGTCTGAGCTAACATGGATGCATTTGTGCAGCTATCATTGCTACGCATCACTTTGTTTATTATTCGCTGGTGCTCGTGATGGCTGGACATGACAACAGGACGTTGTTTTACCGTCAACCTCAACGTGTTGTTGAATAGGTTTTTTACCATTATGTGAGCTAATGAAACAGATAAGAGCTGAGCAAGGTTAAATAAAGGTAGCAAACTGCCAGCTAGCATGGCTAATGTTGCTGCTTGTACACCATGCACACTGTTTTGTTTCTACCTGTGACATTAGTCTTTTATAGGTATCACATTCAGCCTATTTATTAAGACTACAGTTTTCTTAACTGTATGTGCTTTTTTTTTTAAATAGTTTTTTGTCTATTTAGCATCTTCTCCGCACTTTATAGCCATGCAGAGATTTGAATGGCATTAAGTTGTCGTCATCTTTCTCCTCAGAAAATTGTCATGGACCAAAAGAGGCGTGAGATTCGTTTCAGGAGGTGAGTGAGGACATATGTACATGTATAAACAATCATGGCTCAGTTGGGGACGTGTTGCAATTTAAGAGATGTTTATGTTTTTGGTATTCAAACTTTAGCTCTCCCCTCTGGGAGCCAGAGTTATGGTCTGAGGTTAAGCACTAAAACACCACAATTATATATGGCCATTATGTATCTTTTGCTGGGAGTTTATTTATTTAAAGTAAAAAAAGATACTGTTGCAGCCTCTTATTTAATTAACAATTTAATTTAGTCTATTAAACTTAAGAAAATATAGAACAATTCAAGTCCCAACAATTCAATTTGTTATTGCCTGTTTTGTTTGAACAGTTCACAGCTGAAATATATTATCATTGTAGTGTTATAAAGCAGAAAGATAACATTGAAAAGCTGATGGCATAGATGATATTGGGTTTTTATTGTCAAATGACTAAAACCAGTCATTGATTATTCAAAAAGTTGCCGATTGATGTATTTGTAATATCTGGTTTGCACTGTGGATCAAACTGTGCTGTAATTGTTTACAGCACAGTTTTGTTTTGTTTGATCAGTATGTAGCAAATTAGTTTTCTTCAGACCTTGGACAGTGGTGTCTGCAAGCCCTATAAAATGTTTTGAGTTAGTGAGGTGTTGACTGCTGTAAAGTAAAATTGTAGACCATTATTCATCGTTAAAGTGTCTTTCTGCAGAGGTGGGAAGGATAGAGAAGGTGCTGATTGCCAATCGAGGAGAGATTGCGTGTCGTGTGATGCGCACGGCCAAGAAGATGGGCGTCCGCTCTGTGGCTGTGTACAGTGACGCAGACAGAGACTCCATGCACGTGGCCATGGTGAGATGATGGCTGACTTAAGTCTTGCAAAAGCTGTGTCTTTAGAATTTGTACAAATCTGCTTCTCAGACTTTGTTGTCTTTTTTTCTTATTTTTTCTTTGTTTTTGTTTTTTGTAGGCAGATGAAGCCTATAATATCGGCCCCGCCCCCTCCCAGGAGAGTTACCTGTCGATGGAGAAAGTTTTGGAAGTGGCAAAGAAGTCTGGATCACATGTGAGTAACCCCCTACTTGAAGTATTTTAAATAAAATGGGAGATAATTCTTTTCAGGTCGTATCAACCTGTCCTTTCGTGTCTTATTTCCCGTTGAAATCTCAAGGGACTTTGACGTTGTTAAACATGTGTGTTTGTGTGTGCAGGCGGTCCACCCTGGCTATGGCTTCCTGTCAGAAAACACAGAGTTTGCGGAGGCGTGCAAACGGGAAGGCATCATATTTATTGGGCCACCTTCCTCTGCCATCCGAGACATGGGCATTAAAAGGTAACACTCACCAAATATGTACATTTATATATTTTCCACATTTATTTAGAATGATTCATTATTTGTGGTATCAAAAGGAGGCATCATTTACTCTTACTAAAGTTTCTTCCCCAATTTTTTGGGTGGAGGTTTTTGATCTGCTTTGAGGGTCCAAAGACAGAGGGTGTGTCTCTACAAACTATAAAGTCTCTTTTAGGCGAAGAAAATAAATATAATTAATATAGAATAAATTAGGAATATAATTTGCTGTTGTAAAATTGACTTTGACACTTATAGCAATAATTGTTCACTTTTTCTCATTTTAAATGCTTTCTCCTTTTTTAGCACATCCAAATACATCATGTCAGCTGCCGGGGTGCCAATCATTGGTGGTTACCATGGAGAGGACCAATCAAATGAGAGACTGCAAGCAGAGGCGGCCCAGATAGGATTCCCTGTGATGATTAAAGCAGTCCGTGGAGGAGGAGGGAAGGTCAGAGGATGCCAAAAAGCCTAAATAACTTTGACAAAGAAACTTCAGGAAACATAGAATAACTGTGTGTGTGTGTGTGTGTGTGTGTGTGTTCAGGGGATGCGTATCGCACAGTCGGACTCGGTATTCTTGGAACAGTTGGAGTCGGCGAGACGAGAAGCCAGAAAATCCTTCAACGATGATGTCATGCTGGTTGAGAAATTTGTAGAGGATCCCAGGTAAAAGCTATATTTAATAACAACTATAATACATTTTACTCAATCAGTTAGTGCTAGTTTGACCACCTTTCCATGCTTATTTACACATTAATTCATAATTGAATGTATGTGTCTGTCTCCTGTAGACACGTGGAGGTGCAGGTTTTCGGGGACATGCACGGTAACGTTGTCTACCTGTTTGAGAGAGACTGCAGCGTCCAGAGGAGACATCAGAAGATCATAGAGGAGGCACCGGGGGTGAGCTAAATCAATACTGACTCAGGAGGGAGCTCATACATAAATTAAATTTCATTTTAACACGGACAGGCATATCTCTTTTGAATGTGGATTTGCTACAATTAGCCAAAGAGAACCTGACTCGAGGTTTAGGATATGTTCCGGGAATAATCCCCTGGTCTTATTGTTGGATTAGAGGAAGTGGTTCTGCTATTCCAAAGAGTATGAAGTCATTAAATATGTTGGTTAAAATTAAGTGTCTTTTTTATTATTTATTCTACTATTTCAGACAATTTATACATCCGACAAACAAACACAATGAGTAGAAGCGGGAGAGCAGAAAGCCCAGTTTATACAGAGGTAGCCCTCCCGTTAGTCATCCAGTTGCAGGATAAAGAAAAAAATATAAATCCGTAATTAAATACGCACACAGATAAACAAAATTATATATGTACACTTATACAAGAAAT